TTCGAGGAGAGTTACTCCCCGGCCATAGCGAAAGAGCGAAAGTACTGCTACGTATGCAACTTACCCTTGGACCGGTTCTCGTACATCGGCGTTTATGTAGACGCATCGAAGTCATGGCTCCCACAAACAACATGATATACACAATTAAGCAAAATCCGTCGTGTCACTTCAAGATGCACGATCTTTGCTCCCTCAAATTCATACTTGGGTTCCATTTCGTTTGAGGTCGTTCGGCTAAAACTCTCACGATACACCAGTCGCAGAATGCGTTCTCAAGAGGTTTAGCATGGAACAATCTAACCTGTGCTTACTCCCGTTAAGTACAATACCCAACTCTCTGAGTCGATGTGTCCTCAAAATCCTCTGAATAACGATGAACGGAAGTACATGATAAACATACCGTATCGCACAGCCGTCGGCAGCATCATATAGCTCATGATTAACACCAGATCAGAACTAGCATGCGCAGTTCAACAACTTAGAACATCTCAAACACTGAACCAGAACACTGGCAGGCAGCCAAGCGGACACTCCGATTCATCCGAGGTACGATCGGCTACGGCCTCATCCTTGGCGGCAACTACGATCCCTTGAGAATGATTCGTGCATACTCGGAGTGTCTACGCTAACTGCGTTGACATGCGCCGTTGCGTCGGCCTCTACGTCATGCTACAGGAAGCTTCAATATCTTGCGTCGCTAAGCCCTTACGCACCGTCGTTCTCTCGATTACCGAGGCAGCACTTATGATTCGATGCTCTGTTGCACACATCGTCTAATAAAATTTGGCAATTACCCGTCGCATCCTGTTTCTAGGACGACTGCACTCAATCTCTGGGATGCCGTCAGAGTGCTCGACCGAGTCGATGGTCGCCGGACCGTCGCCTTTCATCCAATTCCGAAGATGTTTCCCATAATATGTACCTCGATCCACGAGCAGTACAAGCTACCATATTCTGGCACGTGTGAATTCGATTCTTTCCTTCAAACACACGTCATCATCCTCGACAATATTGTCGCTCAGGACAGACCACGACTTCTACTACAGGTCGGTCATCTCACACGTCTGGTGTTCATCGACGCTTACATCATTGGTCATGGCGTACCGTCCACAACGGTCCAGCCAAGCTCCTAATCACAAACGTCGAGGACGTCGATGACGCTCAATTCATATCTACATCTGCTCAAGGACTTCTTTCTGGCCATCCAGGCC